GCGTGCTGTTGTGTCCAGCCTTCATCCACAGAACCATCTTCTCAGTTCCTCATTTCTTTATTTACTCCCATGGCAGGCCAAATCCAGGGTCTCCAAATTGTCCTCTACCACTGAACTGGATTTCCAGATCCTGTCGGTGGGCACTATTGATACTTATGTTACCGCTCTTTGCCCTCTCCTGACTTCTCTGAGCTCCAGAGGGCCAGGGTCTCTGCTCTTATGTCAGCAAAGTCTCCTAACAGTCCCTGGAAAAGAGTAGACACTCAATCCACATACATGCGGTATATGTGATGTCTAGGCAGATGAAGAACGTCCTTATAGAGTTATCTGAGCCCTTCTGATGTTGACTCTTGGACCTCGGGTCAAGGTGGCTTCCAGTTTGATAACTGTGAGGGAGCCAGGCTTTTCCTGGGTTCTGTCCCTGCATCTACACCCCTTCCCTATCAACATCATTTAGAGACAGAGCTTAATGAATAACTACAGCAGCAAGAATAATATAGGGCATGGTTTATGTTCATCTTTTAAAAGCACTTTATGTCTGTATATGTGTGTGTCTATGTGAATGAATGCCACATGTGTGTGGGTTCCTGCAGAGACCAGAAGAGGGCGTAGGATCGTGGGAACTAGAGATATGGTACATAGGTTTGTTGCGAGGTACCCATTGATCATGTGCAGCAGTTGAATCAGGGTGGTTAGTTCTTTCATCTCAAATAGTTACTTTCACAGGACTGACAGTTTAAGTGTTGCCAGAGCAGTGTTTCAAAGCCAGCCTTTGCAATGGGTGAGGTTTGCCTCACAGTAGCCAGAAAATAAAGATTTACCTAATGTTTCCTTGCATGGCCTCAAGGAAAAAGTGAGCTTGCCACCATTTTTCCTCCACTGTCCCTTTAGTGAGAACCGTTGGCGACACATCCCTCCTTTCCATTCAGTCACAGGTTTCCCAACCAACAGCACCCTCTCCACGGTAAACTAGTTTCAGTTCTATAAGAAGATTGCACTTGTTCCTGGAGTTGCTAGGGTCAGGGCCTGGGTCTGGCAGGCCTGACGAGCTGGGCTCTGCCACCAGCCCTCAATATGTCAATTAAACATGCAAAGTCATAGTGAAAACAGAAAAAGGAGATTTATTCAGAGTGACACACCTGAGAAGAGAAATGAAGAAGTTCGTAGACCGCCCCACCTCACCCCAGTTCTACCTTCCAGGTCTGAATCCTTCTGCGATTAGGTTAACTTGAAGACAAGAGGAATGTGTAACTAAGTAAGCAGTTCTGGTCCGGCCTGTTCATACCCAACAGTGATTTAACCACTGTCTGGGCTACAGTCTGTCTGGCAAGGTGGTTTTTTTTTGTTGTTGTTGTTGTTGTTTTGTTTTTCATTTTTATTTTATTTTTAAAGCTTTTTGAGATATGGTTTCTGTTAGCCCAAGGGTCCTGGAACTTTTTTTGTAGACCAGGCTGGCCTTGAACTCACAGAGATTCACCTGCTTCTGCTTCGCTAGTGCTGGGATTAAAGGTATGCACGGCCAAGCCCAGCTACTTGCAAGGTATTCCGACAATTTAACAGAACTATTCCTGTCTTTTGAGAGAAAGCGTCACTCTGGCCAGCACCACGCTCCAGTCTTTTTCTTCTCCCAGCATGAGATTCCTGGGGGAAATTCCAATTCCTTGAGGTCCATTGTTTCAAAAATCTGATAGACAAAGGGAGGTACACCAATGTCTTCTTAGATTGTCTTTATTCCTGTTCCAAGCCTTCCGGGAGGACTGGGCTGGGATTTAGATTTCTTTAAAAAAAAACAAAACACTAAGATTGTTGTTTAGAAGGAAGGTGACGAAATAGTCAAGGAGGTTGCTTTGAGTCCCAGGTCAGACCATAAAACCTAAACAAATGTGTGAAAGAACACTGTGCTGTAGTTGTTCCGGGGAAAAACAGTAGGCTGAGTGTGAGGGAAACTCTTGAATCTGCTCTTTGTCCCAAATGACCAGGTGGCTGAGGACAAGGTCAGCCCCAAGTGAAATGACAGATGTTTACCCAGGAAGACTGTAAGCCCCAAGTAGTAAGGATACTTGTCAACCTATTGTTTTCTTTGTTTCCTCCTTGATCCCTGTTCACCTCTTCCCAGAACCTTCGTGGGGCTCATCTTCCTCTGACAGCGTAAAATCTCCGTGACCGTTACCTGGGAATCTGGCCCCAGTAGGTAGTCTTCCGAAACTGGCCTTGTTAAAGCTCAAGGGAGGCTCAAGTCGCAGCTTCTCATTTAATGAATTTAGTTACCCCTTCCTGGGCAGTACCCTTCAGAGCCCCAGCCTTCTCCTGGCTCCTTAGAGGTATCTGGACTTCAGCAGGCTTCCCTAGGTGATTTCAGTCATGCGGAACACTGGAGAGTAAAGTGCTGAATTTAGAGGCAATCCCACCTAAAGGGCCGAGTAGGATCCCTAGCCATTAACTTCTTAAGATTAGTTTGCAAGTGAATGGAAGCTTTCCGGCTGTGCCTCTTGAAGCCTGGTGGAGTGGGGTGGGGGTGGAGGTGGAGGTCAGCTGTTAGCCTCGGAGAGGTACAGACTCTAGTGCTGTGCCCGAGAAGCTCCTGAGGCAGCCTGCAGCCCCAGTTTTAGGAGTCTGCCTCGGGCCTGGGCTGGGGCCAACTGCTGGAGTGTAATCACACCTCTTTCCTGGTGAGTTAGTTTGTCAGGATAATCTCCGCAGCAGGGAGTGGTTTCACGTTTCTTTATTCATCCCCCGCAGCCCAGTCAAATCGCGCTCACTCTGGCCACACTCAGCTTTCTCCTTTTCTTATCACTCCCAGCGTTCAGCAATCTCCCTCCTTCTGTCTCTTCTTTTACACACACTCTTTTCAAACCCCCAAGGTTGTTCATGAGGTCATGTTTCTGTGGGGGTGGGGGGACTTGTGGAAATGAGATCCTCAGAGAAGAGAGGTGCAAAAGGGTCCAGTGCATCATCATTCCTTGGGGTACTGCATCGACCCGTTTTCCAGGGGTTGTGCAGTTCAGTACAATCGACCTAGTGCTCGATTAAGTGATTCCAACCGGAGCACAAAGCCCTAGAACCACAGCCGTTCTGCAGGAACCACGAAGTGCTGCTGTTATCCATGCAGCTAAAATGTAACCTCCAACCTACAGCTCATCCTTCCTGTGGAGAGATGCCTGTGTCATTAGCACATAGCTGTGAATTGAGAGGGGCAGGCAGCTCTGTCTGGCAGGGAAAGCGGAAGACAGGAGGTGCAGAGCTAGGAAGTTAAAGAAGGGCTGCAGGGGGAAAGTATGGGTGGGGATGATGCTGAAATTCCAAGAATGTTACAGGAATGTCTCACTGTCACCAACTAGCAGGACAGTCAGTCCTCAGGATGTGGCCAGGCATCTCCCCCTCCCGCATGCCAGTTTGGTTTTCCTTCCCATGGATCCTTTTGGAGGAGGAGCGTGGCATATGTATGTCTGTACACTTTAGCAAAAACAGTCGTTCTCTTGGCAGAAAGCTCTTCAAACATTGTTGAGTCCAAGAACATTGAGGCTCTAGGACACAGCGGTTAAGTGCTTTACCACGTATTCTAAGGGGTGGGGGCCCTACGTGGTTGTTGCCTTATATGTGTTTATGAGCTAAAAATCAATGATACAGGATTCTTTAGCTGTTTTGCCAAAGAGGACTATTCAAATTAAATCTTCAGCTTATAAAACATGATTTGAGTGGAAGGTAAAATTGAGACTGAGTTTCCGTGATAAAGGCGTGTGTATGTTTCTAAGAGGTTTGCGGAAGTGAACATGAGGAAAATGTGCACGTATATTTGTGTGGGCATGTGCCCATTTCTGTGGAGGCCTGAGGTCTAGTGCCTTCCTTCATTGTTCGTCATTTATTTTTGAGAGAGGGTCTGTTACTGAATCTGGAACTCACTTACTTGGACAGGATAGTTAGTCTCCACGTTTGAGCAATCCCCACTGCCGTGGTTGGCTTTTTACATGGGTGGCCTGGACCAGAACTCAGGTCTTCATGCTTGTGCAGCAAGTACTTTGTGGGTGGAGCCATTGCCCAGCTCCCAACTAATTTTGTACTTATTTAAGGATGTCACTTGTCATCCCTCTGTATTGCAGCATGTCTGCTTTCGTTACTTGTTTCCCACAATTTCAAGATCCAAGATGGGAGATTTGGAGAAAGCTGTAGCCTGGGAGGAACCTGGCTGAAAGCCAAGTTGCTCTTCATTCTGAGGCTGAGGACTACATCCATTCTTGGCATGGCCCTTTCTCCTTGTCTTCTCTCTCCTGCTCGTTCTAAGCTAAGCTGGATACTGAGCTAAGATGGTACAAGGTTCTTCAAGTGTTATGCCCCAGGTAGGCTACAAAAACAAGCTTTCAGCTTCCCGAAATGTTATCTCAGTGGAGAGTAAAATTGAGCTTCCGACCTTGCATTCTATTGAGCACTGTGACTCTTACTTTAAGTGTGGAAAATGTCCCTGGTCTATCTTAAAAACATATGGAGATTTCTAGTAGACTGACTTGTTTTACCTTCTCTTCTAGCAAAAATGCCATGGTTTGTTTTGTTTGTTTTGTGGTTAAGACCATTGCCCCTTTCACTATTAGCTTCTTTGAATTTAGCTACGTCTGCCCTCTGTTTTCTTTAGTGATTGTCTGAAGTTGTCTAACACTCTATACTGCAGAGCACACACACATCCACCATCCCAGCACTCAGGAGGCTAAAGAGTTGCAAGCTCTACTCAGCCTCAAGCTAGACTCAGAAAAGGAAGTTCTGAGTGATGTTCTGAACTGAAAGAAAACCCTAGGTTCTTTTATAATGTAACTCATCTTTAGATGAACCCCAGTATTCAGGGTACCCTGATTTCTAACAGTTTTTTTTTTATATTTACTATACTAATCCTTAAGGTATGGTTCATAGTCATGTCTCATGAGGAAACAGCACAGTCAGTTATGAAGTTTACCCAGGTCTTGGTGACCTGGCCTCAAGCTCTCTATTGACAAGTGTTCCTGTTCTTTCCACAGGTATGAACGCTGCTGTCCGTGCTGTGGTGCGCATGGGAATATACGTGGGGGCCAAAGTGTACTTTATATATGAGGTCAGTGCCTGCTTCCCATTTGTGCTTTCTCTGACTCAGGAATTCGGACCGCCCACTGGCTCATAGCCCTGATGCTCACTCAGCTCACAGGTCTCTCCTTTTGCTGCCTGTCCTGACTGAGCGCCAGAGGTGCTGGGGAAAATGAGATAAGACAGCACAAAAGTCATGCTGGTATCGACTTCCTGGTCTCGATTGCTGGGTTAATGATCCTGAATGTGTTAACTGTGTGAACCGATGTCAAAGAACAGTCTGAGAGATGGAAAGACGGCCGCTTTGAGCTTTTCAACTTTAATGTGAAGCTGACACCACTCCCTAGCATCTGCTCATGTCTTGGCTTCACAGTGAAGAATCTATTTTATTAGTGCACAAATAAAAATGATGTCATGAGTTTGCCTGGAAATGGGAATGGAAATCATGTTAAACAAAATAAACTAGATTTAGAAAGACAAGCATGTGTGCTGCCCTGCAGATCTTAGATTTTAGTGTGTGTGTGTGTGTGTGTGTGTGTGTGTGTGTGTGTGTGTGTGTGAAACAAGAAAGGGACCATGGTGGGAAGAAAACATACAAAGGAGTAGAAGAGGTGGTAACTTCTTATCTTTGCAGACAGCTGGTTGTCTGAGTTAGGGTTTCTATTGCTGTGAAGAGAAATCATGACCATGACAACTCTTATAAAGGACAAACATCTAATTAGGGTGGCTTCATATTCAGGGGTTCGGTATATTATACGGCAGGGAGCATAGCAGCACGCAGGCAGGCGTGGTGCTTCCTATATCTTGATATGCAGGCAACAGGAAGTAGACTGTGACACCGGGCAGCATCTTGAGCACTCAAAGACTATCTGCAGAGTGACACACTTCCTTTCACAAGGCCACACCTCCTCAAAGAGCAACTCCCTAAGAGATTGTGAGGGCCAGTACTTTCAAACTACCACACCGGTGTCTGCTAAAGCATCCTCCCTTTTGTGAAATTGTTGCACTTGTATTCCTTTGTTCATCCCTTGGGTTTTAATTTGCTTTTCAAAGCCTGTGGCTGTGTGATAAATGGCTCTAACCCTTAGTCCGTTCTGACCATTTTAACATTTACTGTTGGAGCGTGTGAAGGTCAAATTCTCCTTGTGAATTTCCACGTCCGGCCTCTGGTCCTGACTGCTGCTATCCCTTGTTCTGCTCCGTGAAGTGGAAGCGCAGATTAGGATCCACACATGAGCCCTCTTTATCCTCTTCCTCCCCTGAGAGTTTGCATTTGTGTATCGGGGTCTCTGAGGGAGGCCATGGACTTAGCCATTCAGCCACTGGCCTTCAAGTGCCACGACCATATTTCACCTGGGCCTTTAAGTTGTTCCTTCTGCTTTTGTTTCAGGGCTTGCATGGGAATAGGAGGTGTATTCTTTTCCCCTTTCCCCAGCCTCTCTCTCTTGCTCTCTCCTGTCTTGAGCCTTGAGAGCAGGCTCAAGGCTCATGGCCTGAGAACAGTTCCTAATTAGCAAATGTGGTTTTCATGAGCTCTTTGGGGTTGGAGCAGTGCCAGATGAGGTTTCCTGTTAAAATTAGCAATGGTTTCACATTTGCTGGCGACTTAGAGTCTACAGAACGGTCTCCCAAGGAGCCTATGTGATTTTCATGCAGGCCACAGGGCTAGTGTCTTCTGCTCTTGCTGTATGCAGCTAAGCACCTAAGCACCTTAGAAAGGAGAAAGTTCCCCCATGAGTCTCTTTGATCTGGCCGGTTGCTCTGAGGGTGTTTGAGGTTAAGACGGAAGTTATTTCTGTTATTTCACAGTCAAACTGAATTCTTCCCCAAACGGTTGATGTTCTCTGTGTCCTTTGTAGGGCCAGAAAGAGCTGAGCCCTGTGGGGGTGATTTAGATCCAAAGACATTTGCCACTGCTTGACGACACTTTTGATGATCTCATTGTTAGAGGGAGAATTGTTCCTGTCATCCAGATGGTAGAATCCTGCCCAACACTGTTTAAATCAGACAAGACAGTCCTTGAAGAATCAATTGTTCCCAAACAATGTTGAGAAACCCACTGTTCCATGAAGAGCCAACTCTGTCTTGAATATTGTTCGTTGGGGAAGAGACTAGAATTTAGTTGGCAAAGACATGTTGGCTGTGCTTTAACCTGTGCTAGAAACTGGTAAACTCTTAGTGCTTGTTCAGATGCTCGGAGTATGCAGTAACCATGTCTTGTGTGTTTGTACTTTGTTCTTCCTCATGTCTCCTATCTTGTGATTGTCTGTCTGAGTTCTGCTGATACTAGCTAGCTCTAGACCTGTGTCTACCAGACTCTGCACATTTAAAAATTAAACAACTGATAGGGAGATCCTCTTATAGGCCTACATTGAAAGACTTTTGATCTTGCTTTTGAGGTTAACCAGATTTATTCTCCACACTGTTGTTTTTAGAGGTCTCTAGAGAAACAGAACCAACAATATGTAATCATAAGACAGGATTTATTAGATTGGCTCACACACTCATAGGCTCCCTTCCTCTGTTGAGTTGGAGGAAATGAATAGATGGAAGTTCAGTCTAAGGAGCTGGAAGCCTCAGTATGCGAGAGGGGTCAATGATGCTGTAGGACTTGGCATATGTGTCGGAGTCTTTCTTCAGTAGCAGTAAGTATTACTGGAGTTAAATCAATTGAGAGTGTCATCATCTATATAGATGTAAAACTTTTGCTTCTGTAATTTTTAAATCCAAAAAGATCCAGAAAATCTATAAGCTATTGTGTCACTTGCTTGACAGCAAAGTCCTGGTGGCCTAGAAGGAGGCTGAGTATATATAATCATGGCTCAGCCTACCTGGGGTGAGGGGCTGTACTTTCCTGTACAGAAAGTGACACCTACAGGATGGCCTCCACCGAGCTCCTGGTTGCCTCAGGTCACATCATTCGTCACAGCCACACGGCCTTGAAAATGCAAACCTTTAGAATCCTCTTCTAGGGAATAGGTGAGGAACTGTGGAATTTCACAAGCAGCCCAGTGCCTGGAAATGAAAGAATAACCCTTTGATCCTGTGTCCTTATTTGACCCAAGGGAGTATTATTTGTGCTGGGTGTGATGGAGGCATGGAAGCTTTAGGAGTTCAGAGTCATTCTTGATTACCTATTGCCTTCCAGGCCAGCCTAGGCGACTTAAGATCTTGCCTCAAAACCCCTAAAAGAAAAAGAATGGGGGTGGACAAGGGGAAAAAAGAGGAAGGGACGGAAGAAAACAAATCTTCTGTGTCTCTCCCTCACTGGTAGAAAATGTGGAAGAGTTTTGAGTACTAACCCCAAAGGGGCTGTTTGCTGCCTGGTTGCAAGACAAGAAGACATGCTCACCTTTGACCCCATTGGTTGTGGCCAGGCACAGAATTGAGGCATGTGACTGAACCAGTGCACTCTGTGACCTTCTGGGAATCATGAGTTGCCTAATAGTTAGGCTTCTTTATTAGCCACACTATCACCAGCCCTGTGCTGTTTGGGATGGGATATCAGGGGTGGGGAATGGGAATCCCGTGCATTACAGGTTTAAGAAGCATCCTGACTCTACCCACTGGATGCCCGAAGCACCTCCTTCCCATAATCCTGCCCGTCAGGATTGTTTCCAGGTGGCACTGTTTCCTGGAGGCACAATTCCTCTCATTAGGGACTGCTGTTCTCAACCAATTGGATTTGAATTTAAAAGGTTCCCGGTATTGTGTTTTTAAGCATCATTTAGTGATTCATCCCAACACGTTTGTTCATGTGTACTCCAGTTTGCCTAGAACTTTCAATGTTACCAGCAGATTAGAACAGTTAAACGGATTAGTAGTCATTAAATCATGGGTTCTCCTTCCCCCTCCTTTCCTCTCTCCTCCTCTGTTCCTCCTCCCTTCTCCTCCTCCACTCTTCATCCTCATCCTCACCCTCCTGAGCCTCTTTGCTCCTTCCCCCATTTCTCCTGAAAATGTATGAGCCTGGCAACTCTGGTGTTTCCGGCAAAAGCCTGGCACCTGCTTGGTATGAGCTGTTTTGTCTAGCTGCTACTTGCAGGCCCGTAGATCTGGGTCAGGCCTACGTGTGATGCATGTGGAGCCCTTGGGCTCCATTCCAGGAGAGATGGAAGGGGTTGGTGGGTTAACCCAGTTCTTTTCTATGTAATGAGCTGATCACTCATTTCTTTCTCTCTCTCCTGTTTGTTTTAATTGCTCTTAAGCTGGGTGCTTTCTTTAAGAGCCCACAGAAGGCCATACCTCGTCAGTAGTGATAAGACAAGACTAATAAATAGTCTACAGGAAAGACCACACCCTGAGCAGGCTGCCCTGGATTAGGCGGATCCAACCCAGGATAGGAAAAAGTGAAATTAATCTGGGAGCATCGTGGCTGAAGAAGACAGGCGTTTCATTGCTTTTAGTTTTATTGTGTAGGTTTACTATCCTATTGTCAAAGGTTTTCTACAGATTTTGAAAAAACGGTTCCTAAAGATGTGTGCAAAAAATGTCACCTAAATGTCTTTTGCCTTTAAATGAAGGATTTAACAGTTTGATAGTGTACATGGGCAGCCATTTATCCATGCTGTCCAAGCTCGTCTCTCAGCCTATATGGGAACGAACGCCATTTTAGCAGCTATTCTTGCTATTCTAAATTTCAATTTCAACTGAAAATGTGTTAGATGTGAAGAAACAAGGAAGAGGAGAGCTGATGCTGCCGTGTCCTCACAGATCTACCCATAGGGTTCCTTTGTCGCCTTCTCTGTGGCTCCAGAGCCTGCAGGGTCTCTGCTGTCCTTGTCACGTCCAGCTGACGAACTTGAATGATTAGCCTGTCACTTTGGCTTCTCTTGTTTCAGGCCCTGAGTACTGTTGCCTGACTTAATATCCACATAGAGGCGGTTTGGGGTTGGAATGCGGCACAGATGGCTGAGGGCACGAAGCTTTGCCTTTGATCCCAGCCCAGCAAACTCACACGAGTCCCTGTGACTCCTGTCAGGACGTAGTGGTGGGAAGAGCAGGCGCCTAAGGGCATCCTCGAAGTTCCAG